GTACTGCGAGATTATATTACATCCTTATTTCCCATCTCTTTTTTGAGTCTAATTCTCTTGTCCGAGCACACCATCATCGCAACCCGTCAACCACCCAAGATGTCGATGTCGATGCTCCCCAACATGAACGCCACGGCCAGTGCTGCGGTAGACGGCGCCCTCTTTATCGAAGTAGCCCAGCGATGGCCTGTCGCCGCCACCGCCCTCTTTGCATGCGCTGTGGCATACTTGCTTCAAACAGTCTTGAAGAGTGATCCATGGGCAGATATTCCGATGGTAGGAACAGAATTTGGAGGATCCGAAGCCCGGCGAAAGCAATTTATGAATGGTGAGGCCAGGAACCTCTACCTAAAAGGATACAGGAAGGTACGGCAGACACCAGCAAGTCCCAATGGTGTTCATTATGAGTTAACCGGAAATGCGTATAGTTCAAAGAGAGAGCTTTCCGGATCACCACCGCAAGGAGTAAGCTTCAGCCCCTCGATAGCAAAGATCACCTGTACTAAGTAACCCGCAGAATCGCCAAATATTGTCGTCGCCCCGAAGTTTATGAACGAGCTGAAGAGGCTTCCCGACGACGTCCTCAGCTTCAACCGGGCCATCGAAGAGGTCAGGCTAATAAGAACCTATAACAAAGAGGCAGCGCTGATGGATCTCTAGTCAATGCACGCGAAGTACACAGGTATAGACACCGATATCGCGTTGTTGCCCCATACCGTCAAGACTGCTTTGACACCAGCTCTGGGTGCGTCATATCTCTGTGACACGGTCTTCTAAGTTCCTCTAACAATTTTAATACCTGTACAGTTCGACTCAACCCGATCATCGCCGACGAGGTCGTCGAAGCTCTGCGAACAGAGCTGCCCCAATCATGCGACTGGAGCGAGGTCAAGATCATGGATAAGATGATGCGAGTCATCGCCATGGCCTCCGGACGCGTCTTCATTGGACCCGAGCTCTGCCGAAACGAAGAATACTTAGACGCCGCGATAAACTACACCCTCGATCTGATGAAGGCCGTTAGAAAGGTTGCCGATATCGCTCCTTGGCTACGCCCCTTCTTGGCAGCAAGAACACCGGAAGTCAAGCAGGTTCACCACCGAATAGAGGAGGCGGACAAGTTCCTGAGACCTGTGGTGACCGCAAGGAAGGAGGCCGAGAAAAGCCCCGACTACCAAAAGCCGGACGATATGCTGCAATGGATCATGGAGTCGCAGAAGAAGTTTGGTGAGAAGAATGATAGAGAGCTTGCTAGGTACCAGCTGGGTATCAGCTTCGCTGCTATCCACACTACAACTGTCACCACGACCAATGCGTAAGTATCTGGACATACGATAGCCAAGGCAACGTGGATAACGCTGACGAAGTGAATCAAGTCTCTACACCCTGGCGGCTATGCCTGAGCTGATTCCAATGCTCCGGGACGACATCCAGCAAGCCTTGGCCGAGAGCAACGGTGTGTTCACCAGCGGCGCTATGCAGAACATGAAGAAGCTGGATAGCTTCCTCAAGGAGACGATGAGATACTATGCACTTGGTCCCAGTGAGTGTACAGTCTCAGCTAAGTAACTAATTCAACAACTAACCATCTGTACAGCATCATTCCAGCGCAAGGTCTTGAAGACGTTTGCTCTATCGAACGGCCAGGTCATCCCTGGCGGATCCGTAATCGAGTTGCCTGTAATTGGCATTAACAACGACGATGAGATCTTCCCGGACTCCGAGAAGTTTGACGCCTTGAGATTTTACAAGCTTCGACAAGCCAAGACGGAACAGGAAACCGGCTCAAAACAGGCCGAGGTTGTGGCAAATGCCCAGTTCGTCAGCGTGGGGCAGACCAGTTTAACCTTTGGTTACGGTCGTCACGCATGCCCAGGCCGCTTCTTCGCTGTAAACGAGATCAAGATGATCATGGCGACGACGCTGGCCAACTACGACATTAAGAACGTAGGAGACAGCAAGGAGCGATACAAGAACTTGGAATTCGGCGCAATAGTAAGTGATTAAGGATTCATCGTGGGAGGACCAGCCTGCTAATACGTTTCTAGACTCAACCGGACCCCAACAGGAAGGTTCTGCTGAGGAAGCTTTAGTAATGACGGAACTTCATAACAGTCAATGATTTTTCCATCGGTGTAAGTTAGCATATGCGCAACGCACAACATGGTAATTGAAGACTTTGGAAGTTGAAGCAATGCGTGTGGCCTGGGTACTCCTCGACTGACTGCATATCGTAAAGAAAGAAAAAGTAGATTTCTGGGACTGTCTCAATGGATTCCTGGTACATAGTGTGAAATCAAATTTGCTTTCTATCCATTTACTCCAAGGCATCAACGTATACCTTTCGTACAGAATCCCAAACCCCAAACCAGATGTTATGTAATCCTACATGTTTCATGAGTCTATCCAGGCTTCTTCGCCAAAGAACAAAGGGAAAAGAACCCTAGAAGGGCAAACTAAAAACAAAAGCAAAAGACCCCAGTCAAGTGACCGGATCATAAGCCCAATCTCTCCAATTCTCTTCGCTCGGCTTTCTTGTTCCCGCTGGTGCTACTGGAAGCTCTACCCTCGTCTCTCGAGTTTCTTCAACGCCGCCTTGTTGACTTCTTTCACCTACGAAACCCCTGGTTACCGGCGGCTCCTTGGTAAGGCTCGTACCGCGGGTCTTGGTATTGTTGTTGTTGCGGCTTCGGGTATTGTCCGCTTTCCATCAGGTATCCCTCGTTGAGGACCTCGGAGCTAGAAACTTGCTTCAAACCGGTAGCCTGATGGTTGATGACACGACTTGGGTGGAACCAGTTGAAGGACATAGCTGTGATGCCCATCAGTGTCGCATCAAAGATGTAGATGTACATCTCCTTAGCCTGTAGCTCGCTGTCCTTGCCTCCCACGTATTCGGCAACTCGAAAAAGCGATCGAACCATGATGAGTAGACTGGTGCCGTAAAGAACGTAGAGGAGACCCTTCCATGGGGTTTGAACTGTAAGGGACTTTGGTGTCGGGTTGCGGGAGAGGCGGAGGTGGAAGACAAGAGTGACGATGATGAAGAACCCAAAGAAAAGGATCTGAATGCAGAGACCGCCGACGATGATGTTTTCGCCGAGCTTCACATTATCGCTGTTCTTGGCAGTCGCCAACATGCCACCACCTCCAGACTGTGCGAAGAATGACAGCACATCTCCTAGCACGAAGACCTTGGTCAACCAGTTTGGTCTGATCAAAGAGTATCCCCCGGCATCGAGAAGGTTGATCAAGCGACCGAGAACCATGTAGATCGACGCGGCGAACAAAGCGGGACCAAGGAGGAGAAGGATCGACTGGATAATGTAGGGGTTTTTGGTGTAATCAGGTGCTTCGCCCGCAGACATGGCTCGGCCAGCGTATCCGACTGCTTCAACTAGGGAAATGTCAGCCGAGTCATGCTTGGGGATGGAGTTGTGTTTGGACTATGATAACTTACATATGCACCCAATCACAAAGGGAATAAAGTACCACGTCTTGCGTCGACATAATTGCCAGATGTGTAGCATACAAGAAACCCCAAACACGATAATGAAGACGGTTGCCGCTACCATAGACGGCTCATAGTGGTAAAAAACGAAGCCGGTGGAGGCACCATCTGTTGTGGTGCTGTTGTCCGCCATCGTGAAGTCCTGAGTCTTTCCTTGGCGCAATTAGGTAATATTTTTGCTTCAAATTGAGTTTGGGCGGGCCGAAAAGTTTAGCTTGGTCGTCGGAAAGAGAAAGCTTCAATCCCAAGGCGATAAAGACTGTGTTCCGTTCGTGTAAAGGCTGTGGGCGGGCGATGTAGAAGCTTGTTGATCGTGTTCTATTATCATCCATAATCGGTCCAAAGACCTCGATATAAGTAAGTCTTTACGTTCATCTTTGAATTCTTCCCCTTTACCCCTTTGTGTTTGCATACGAGTGTTGCTGCGATGCAAAACAGTCTCAACACGAAGAAGCCCCCTGGCGCTAGGCAGACTGAGCCTCTGAGGGATGACATTTGCAGATTTTCAGATTGTACGCGGAGTATTAGTAGGGCTGAGCCACGTTGATCAAGCACAATGCGGTATTCTCCGTACGCGTATGATCCCAATCCAGCCATTGGCCAGAGGACGAAGCCATAAAGCCCGGGAGACGGTGCCTAATCCGGCGAAATGTGCAAAGTCTTTGCGGCAGTGGGGAGCGGTCCAAGTTTAGAATTCCAGACTAGCGACGGTTCTAGCGACTCGTAAGGAACGATCTATCCGCGGATTTTGTGTTGGTCGTATACGCGTATTCGTCACCATGGATGCGAGACAATGCGACAACCCGCGGGTCAACAGTGAACCAATGATACGTTTAAGGTTGTGCCCACTTACATTGACTGATAATTAAGCATCGACTGGCGCCCCCATCGCGTATCGCGACAACACGTCCACACCCATGAGATTTTTATGGCCCTGATCCGACGGGAACTTGCCGAGTCCGCGGCTCCTCGCAACTGCATATGCCCAAAAGAGCTTGAAAGCCTTTACAACCACGGCCTCTTTACGTGGATTCGCAGTTCGGCGCGTTGTGGCGCGGCTCAAACCACCGGCCCTACGAATCCTAGTCCCCTTAGCACTCCCGTTCGGCTTTGCCCTACGGGTGACCCGAGTCAGGTACGAGATATGCGACTAAGGCTACAGACTACGGAGGGGTGATGTGGCGGCGTATGATGTAAGTAGTAGGCGGTAGCTGAATATTTGATAAGTTGGTTTGACTCCCAGGCTAAATTCCTCGAGACCCCTCCCTAGTTAGTGATTTCACGTTTAGGAATTGACTTTTCTTTTGATCGTCTTGAAAACATACCGTGCTCTTGCCCCTTCCTGCTCTTGATTGATTCGGCGATCGTTCAATATTTTCCTCTTCGATACCCATTTTGCTTTTTCTAAGTCGACATTGTGTACTACACGACCATATCTTCACCCTCGTCAACCAGAACCCCACCCCTCAGCCTACTTCGAGAGTACAAGATGTCGAAGCGAAATACCATCAGAATGATAGAGGATGATCCCGTTCCTCAAGACTACCTCCCATCCTACGAGACGGCGATCAACGAGGGGCTCCAGCAACATAGCGAAAGCGTCGGAAGTAGGAACCCCAGCTGACCCATCTAATAGCCCCTTTGAATACATCCTAATCAGAGAACATTACAATAGCGGACGGTAGAATTAACGTAAACCTCGATTCGCGGCTGGCGACAACCCTCGCCCGCTTTGTCCCCGACTTCAAAGACCCAGCCCAACTGGCACAAGCCGCAGCAGCAGAGGGCCCCCCGCCAGAGTACTTCGAAGCAGCAGAGCGCTTCGCCGAGAAGAAGACGTTCCCTGTCAAACTCAACATCGTCATCCAAGTCGTAGGAAGTCGCGGCGATGTCCAGCCCTTCATCGCGCTCGGAAACGAGCTCCAGACGTACGGCCACAGAGTACGCCTTGCAACACACGACGTCTTTGATGATTTTGTCCGCAAATCCGGCCTCGAATTCTACCCCATCGGCGGTGATCCTTCCGAACTGATGGCCTACATGGTCAAGAACCCAGGCCTGATCCCGAGCTTGAAGAGTTTGAAGGGCGGCGATATTCAGAAGAAGCGGAAGATGGTAAAGGAAATGCTGGAAGGGTGCTGGAGATCTTGTATCGAGCCTGATACACAGACTGGTACACCTTTCGTGGCGGATGCAATCATTGCCAATCCGCCGAGTTTCGCACATGTCCACTGCGCCCAAGCCCTGGGTATTCCGCTACATCTCATGTTTACCATGCCTTGGAGTAGCACGAGAGCATTCCCGCATCCCTTGGCCAATCTCAAGTTTGGAGACAAGGGAGTTGTTGACCAGATGACGGCCAACTTTGTGTCCTACAGCGTCGTTGAGTGGTTGACATGGCAAGGGTAAGCAATTGTCTGGCTGTCTTTGGTCTCTCGTGCTGATGATTATTACAGCCTCGGAGATGTCATCAACGATTGGAGAAGGACGATCGATCTTGAAGAAGTGCCGTTTTCCGAAGGCCCGGTTCTCGCAGAGTCGCAGAAGATTCCATTTACATATTGCTGGTCCCCATCACTTGTACCAAAACCCATCGACTGGCCTGCCTATATCGGTAATATTTGTCCATTGCGCAAGACTGTAGGTGGATCTGGTACTGATCTCTCGCATAGATGTTTGCGGCTTCTTTTTCCGCGAACCCCCTCAGTACGAGCCTCCCACCGAGCTCGCAAACTTCCTGAAGAATGGACCGACTCCCATCTACATCGGCTTCGGCAGTATCGTCATCGATAACCCCGACGAAATGACAAAGATTCTTGTCGAGGCTGTCCGCGCAACGGGAGTTCGCGCAATTATATCGAAAGGCTGGAGTAATCTGGGAGGTATCGATGCTGATGACATCCTGTTTCTGGGGGACTGCCCCCACGAGTGGCTTTTTGCCAACGTTGCGGCAGTGTTCCACCATGGTGGCGCCGGGACCACGGCTTGCGGCCTCTTGAACGGAAGGCCAACCACAATCGTCCCCTTCTTTGGCGAGTGAGTACTGGAGAGTGATATCAGGGGTCCTATTCAGTTCGAAACTAACAGTTTTCAGTCAGCCATTTTGGGGAGACATGGTTGCCATCGCAGGCGCTGGGCCAAAGCCTATTCCACACAAGCAGCTTAACGCCCAAAACTTGGCTGATGCGATTCGATTTTGCCTGACACCGGAAGCCGCGACCGCAGCTGGTGAACTTTCGGCCAAGATGAAGACTGAGAATGGTGTGGCCACGGCAGTAAAGTCATTCCACGCAAACTTGCCCCTTGAACTGCTTCGGTGCGATGTTTTCCCCAACCAGCCGGCAGTGTGGGAGTTCAAGAGAGGAAAGAAGCATGTCAGACTATCGAAGCAAGCTGCGGGGATTCTTCTTGACCACCTCAAGATTGGCCAGAAAAATATGTCACAGTGAGTGCCAATAACCTTGAGCGTAATTCGTCATTGCTTAGTGTATACATGTACTAATGACAACCCTGACTTCTAGACACGAGACAAAAACATACATCATCGAGAACCGGCGGTGGGATCCCGTCACAGGCACCGTTTCCTCCTTGATGGGAGTCGGATACGGCTTGGTCAAGGGTGCCACTGACATCGTCGTCAAACCCGTCCAAGTCTACAATCAACGATCCAAGCTCAAAGCCGCAGAGATGGAAGACATTGAGAGGAGAAGCGCCAGAAGCGTCTCCAGCTTGGACGTTCAGACACCGCCCCGATCCCCAAGTCTCGCGCCTCCGCAATCCGACGCTCTCGATCGACCCCGAAGTGCCGGCCGAGGCTGCGGAAGCACAACAGGCGCGGTCTTCAAGGCATCGGCTTCCGGCGTTGGCACATTCTTCAAGTCTTACGGCAAGTTCTACATCGATGTGCCGTTGGCTGTCACGGAAGGTCTCCGTGAGGCGCCTAAGCTCTACGGTGAGAAGGTCGAGGCCCGCGCTCCCATTACAGATTGGAAGTCCGGCGCTATGGTCGGGGGAAAAAACTTTGTGACCGGAATCGGGGGTGGGTTCGCCGACTTGTTTTACCAGCCGTACAAGGGCGGACGAGATGGAGGTGCCGCGGGCGCAGCGTTGGGCGTCGGCAAGGGCGTCATGAACATGGCCACAAAGACGGCATCAGGTATGTATTCGAAGGTATTTCTTCCTGCTTGTCGACTCAGAATGCTTACCTTTGGTGGAAAAGCCACTCTCGGGATTGTCGCGTACCCCGGCCAGGGTATTTACCAGAGTATTCGGACAGCAGTCAAGTCCAAGACCAGACAGAATATTGCTGCTGCTAGACGAGTCGAGGGCGAATATCTCGCCCGTAACATGGAGGTTGATATTCATCAGACACTACAGAGGTTCGATGAGATTTGCCGCGCCAGCGAGAAGGAGAAGAAGGGCAAGGAGCGTGAAGGTGGAAACTTTTTTGAGTTTGGAAAGAAAGGGAAGGACAAAGATACCCATGCGACTTTTTAGATAGAGAATAGAGACTGGCTCACTATTTTCCAAATTCGAGTGCAGAGATTTGGGACTTGACAGTCATTAAGTGATCTATTCAAGGCTGGCTGACCGGGTATCAAACTTCGCCAGCATCATAGCTACCATCTAGTATTTAGATTACATGTAAGAAAGTTATACGCGCACATTATTCTAGAATCTACGTTGGATGGGATCTTTATCCCCACTTCCAAAGTCAGTCTCCCTCCATCTGATGATCCATTGACCTTGATTATCTCCGAGCCATGAATCTCATCTTCATAGGGTGTGCCGGTGGAGCCACTGGTTCGACTGGTGCCGCTGGCGCCTCTGCTGGAGGGTTGATTGGTGTGAACCCAATGGGAGGGACCTGATGAGCAGGGGGCGCAGCCTCAGTGGGAGGCGCCACGTGGGCTGGAGGAGCAACTGCCGGGGCTTCGTGAACGAGAGGGGCAGCGGCAGGTGTATGTACCGGCATGGCCTCAGCAGGAGGCGTATGAACGGGCATTGCCTCGGCTGGCGGCGCTTGGTGAACCGGCGGGGCTACCGGGGCAGGGTGCGCGGCCGGTGGAGGTGTATGTACCGGAGGAGCCATGGTGTGGGCCGGCGGGGGAGCTTCATGAACCGGCGGTACTGCTGGTGCCGCTGAGGGATGCACTGCCGGAGGTGGGGAGGGTTGATGGCCCAAGACTGGCGCTGCGATTGTTGTTGCGCAGTGGCTGACCGTCTGGGTGACATGGACCGTTTGATGGATGACTTGGGGAGGTTGTGTTATGTGTACCGTCTGCGCAGGCTGAGGAACATGAACCGTCTCCTTGATGATGTGAGGAGGCTGCGTAACGTGGATTGTTTCCTTGACAACGTGGGGAGGCAAAGTGACATGAACTGTTTCCTTGACCACCTGCGGAGGAAGGGTGACATGTACCGTCTCCTTGACGACCTGAGGCGGCAAGGTTTGGTGGATTATCTGAGGAGGCAAGGTAACGTGTACAGTCTCCTTCACTGGAGGCAACGTGACATGTACGGTTTCCTTGACGATTTGAGGCGGCAGAGGCGGCAGAGTCTCCTTAATTATCTGGGGAGGCTGCGTGACGTGAACCGTCTCCTTAATAACCTGAGGTGGTTGGGTGATATGTATAGTCTCCTTGACCACTTGAGGAGGCAAGGTGACATGGACCGTCTCCCGGACAGGAGGCAGAGTGACGTGAACGGTTTCCTTGACAATCTGAGGTGGCAAAGTCTCCTTGATGATTTGAGGTGGAAGAGTCTCCCTGATGATTTGAGGAGGTTGAGTGATGTGCACCGTCTCCCTGATGACTTGCGGTGGCTGAGTGACGTGGATTGTCTGAGGAGGCAGAGGAGGTAAAGTAACGTGTATCGTCTCTTTCACCACCTGCGGGGGTTGAGTGACGTGAATAGTCTCCTTAATCACCTGGGGAGGCTGGGTGACGTGTATCGTCTCCTTGATGACTTGAGGAGGTTGAGTTACGTGAATAGTCTCTTTAATTACCTGAGGAGGCTGAGTGACATGGATTGTCTGAGGGGGAAGGGTAATATGGATTGTCTCCTTCACAGTTTGAGGAGGCTGAGTGATGTGGACGGTCTCCTTGACCACCTGAGGAGGAAGAGTTTGGACCTCCTTCTTCGTTTCTGTGATGTGTATTGTCTCCTTCACCACCTGTGGGGGCTGAGTAATATGTACGGTCTCTTTGATTGTTGTCGGAACATGAACCGTGATGTGTACGGGTATCTTTTCGTGGATAGTCTCGATTTGGTGTATCGTCGTCGGGACGGGAACGTGGACTGTCTTCACTTCTCCCGGTAGCGTGACGTGTACCGTCTTGTGAATTGTTGTAGGAACATGAACGGTCTCGTGGACGGTGTGCACAATCGTCTCGGTCTTGGGCTCGCATTGCTGCTGGGCTGGAGGCGCTGGCGGAGGGTTGGCGGCTGCCATAGTCGACAGGGCGAGCCATGAGATGACTCCGTATCGTGTGAGCATCGTGTCTTCGTCGAGTAGTAAGGACTGTTTGAATAGGACTTGAGCTGATTGTCGTTATTGAGCAAAGAAAGAAAGACACAAGAAGGAATAAAGGAACGTATGAGGTCTGAACGAAGTCGAGATACCGGTCTCTGGATGAAATGAATCGAAGTAAACAAAATGTAGCCAAGTGATGAAATCACGAGATGGCTACCGAGAAACGAATGAAGACGGGCGCGTGGGTGAATGGAAGAGGTGGTGACAGTCCTGCTGATCACTGCAGACCAAGAATGGAAGGGGGGAAAGTCATTATATCAGGAGGGGTCTGGTTCATCGTCGCCTTGGCTGATGAACATGGCCCGCTGCTCGCAGCATCCGGTGCACGGAATCTCGGATGCGCGGGTTGTTGTGATGGTACGTCTTTCTGGATCTAGGTCAGGTCTGGGCATGGGACTGTTGGAGCTTGGTGTGAAGGAGTCGCGCGAGGTATCGTCATTCGTGGAGTGCTGTGACTAGGGCCCTAGGCGGATGTGTAAGAGAAGACGCGGTGCTCGATAGTGTCCATGGTGATGTTGGACTCAACCTGGCAGCGGTGAGCGTGTTATTCAAGATCGGGTACAAGTTGGACTAACAAGTCAGCTGCGTATGTCTTACCACCCAAGATGGGATCAAATGTCGCGCTGCCATCCGAAGAGTGATGGTACGGATCCGCAAGAAGGGATGAAAAACTAGGGACGCTCTGTTTTAGGTTTGCGGCTCTCGCAGGGGAGTATAGCCAGGGCTGAATCTGACGAGCAAGTGAGGTTGAAGAACACTAGGGCACAGGCAGTCGCGAGGCTTGGCCCGGATGCACGGGAGGCTTGGTATGCTTGGGGGCACAGGGGGTAGCTTTCCTCGCGTTTGTTGACCCCTTAAGATCAGAAGTTCTTGTCCGGAATCATATGCTGCCGTTCGTGAGCACGAAATCTCCTAGTTCTCCTCATGGCTGAGCTGAAAACATGAAACTGAGAATCGTCGGATGATCGTGGCTCTGCAAACGGCTTCCAAGGCAATAGGTTTTACAATGGCAAGTCGATCGCGATAATCATTCTTCCCAAGAGATCACCGTGATAGAATGTTGGTTGGCCAAGGCTCTTGGTGTTCATGCCATGATGGACACATTGACAACCAGGTAGCAAAAGTTGTTAAATCCCCTGGGTCGCCGCACAACTTTCTTCTTTCTTTGCGCTTCTGAAGAGTGAAGTCTGGTATCGCATGAAGCCATACGGGAATGTTTTCTTCTCCACAGACATCCACCCCCACGAACGGAACCTGACACACGTCAGCACAGCTACATCCTCAGGCTTTCCGAGGACGAGACGAACGTGGGTGCTGGCGTTCATGGATGATCGGGAAGCATGGTTCACTACATTGCAACGTTGGTGGAAAGCTCACCAAGCTTGCGAGTCCCAAGCTCCTAGTGCGTGTGATGGGCTAGTTGAATTCTCCAGGTTAGGCGATGCGAAACCCCCGCCAAGATTAAGCCCCTGTAAGAGCCACAATTGGAGATCGCGAGCAGACGTAAAAATTGGGCTGTGCGAAACAAAATCAGGTGAGATTCCACTTGGAAGCCTAGCTGATGGACCAAACCAGGGCAACAGGATGATGCCTTAGGATGGTTCCGAAGTTTCGGAAGACTGACGAGGGGAAGTTGTCGTGGTGGTTAGCAGTCAAAAGAGGTTAGGTTGGAGAAATTGGAGGTGACAGAGGCATAGTTTGGGTTAAGCATTAAGGTTATTTTGTTAGTGACCTCATCTGGGGCCCGTCCGCCCCCCTTGAACGGTATCCCGGCCGCAAGTCGGCTTCGAGGTGACCCGAACCCCTTGCGAAGGCCACGCAGGGGTCGAATCTATGGGATACGGGTCTTTTCGCGCGGTCTTACATTATCATCGTTGACATCTGGAAATCAGTAGATACGATACTGCTCACGTTTGCTCAATGCAATTGTTTAGCATTATCAAAACCTTGTGAATCCCTCGTTGTCTTACGAAACTCGGCTACCCCTACGCTTCAGATGTACGAGTCAGACGCCAGCAAGAATGGAGAGAGCTGTCATAACGGTCGAATCGAAAGCGAAGATGGACTGTCCATTTCAGCGAAGCCATTTTCAGACACGGTTCCAAAGCTAAGGTACTGCCAGGAAGTCGGATGGTTGGCTTATGTTCGCTGAGTGGCAGCTCTCGTACATGCACTCTCTCGGAGTATTGAAGTGCATATTTCTATCACAACAGCTTCTACGTGCAATTGTTGTCACATGCCTCAATCGATAGTTGGGTAAATGTACATGTGATCCGCCTTATGAAAGTTGAATGCATTCCATAAACATAAAATTTCTCAAAGGCGAAAGCTCAGGTCTTGCATATAGAGCCTTTAGCACCTGGACAGGAGTCAACACAGTGATCAGTCATGTGCTGTTGTGCGAGAGCATTGGCTCTCAGTGATCCCACAGTCCCACCACTGTATTATTATTACTTTAACTCCATGATGGGATGCATTGTCCCGAAGAAAAGTGCTTGGCCATTTACATGTTTCTCCAGAATATCGCGGTGAAGATAGCAACACTTCAAAGATAATTGACATCAAACTCAGCAGTGCTACAGGTAACCTCATGTTTTCTCAGGCTACAGTGTCTTATCTAGCTCGGCTTCTAGCTCCCTTGTGCCCCTCTCAAATGTTACAACCTGGAGAAGTGGCGTTTGGCGGGGTCGTCGGTCCCAGAATCCGATTCCCAACCCATTTTGGTAGAACGGGTTTCGGTATTATCGACTATCCACCAGAACTTGGAATAGGAATTCCTTTGCACAAAAGTGCCGAGTTGCCTTTGATCCTCCTTTTGAGGAACTATGTCAGTGCGGCTTGTCAAGATGGTAGCTTGCTTGCAATGCTCTAATTCCTCACATAATCAACCCCGCTTTGACTCTTGGTCGCTAAGAAAAGTTGACGATTTATCCAAAGTTACTTCACTAGATCATCCATCTGATCTACACTGCTGCACTCAGCTTGAAAAAACGATTAATCAACATGCAGTATGCCTCGATCCTCGGTTGGCGTGATGGCTGTCTTCAAAAGGCCGATCGGCTTTGGAGCTGGCTTCCGTCATGCGATTAAAATCGTCAGTCAAACCACTGTGATATCTAGAACTACTGCACAGAAGCTACTCGCATTGCTGTAATCTCACCCATCATTCTGCTACAACAACCCGAGTCATATAGAAATGGCCGACCTGAGATCCGCCGTCTATGTCGCACCGCCGATTCCCAGCAAAGTTCCTGGCTCGAACGCAACCGCAACATGGTCCCCAATCTCATGCACCCTCATCTACTCGGCAAACGAAGCTGTCTTGGTAGACACGCCCATCACTATCAAGCAGACAGAGGAACTCATTGCCTGGATCGAGAACATTGCACCAAAGCGGAAGCTCTCATACATCTACATCACCCACGGCCACGGAGATCACTGGTTCGGCATACCTCTCCTGCTGAAGCGCTTCCCGGAAGCCGTTCCCGTCGCTACGGTGGGAACCATCAAACACATGGAGCAGCAGATTGAAGAGGAAGTTTTCAGGCAAATGTGGGAGGCCCGCTTCCCAGGCCAGATCTACCGCCCCTTCACTCTCGCACAGCCTCTCTCCCCAAAGAGTGGTGGAATCTTTAAGCTCGAAAACCGCTGGGAGTTCAAAGCTATTGAGTGTGGCCATACTGACACCTATGACTCAACCGTTCTCTGGGTCCCCGACCTTAGACTCGCCGTCTGTGGTGATGTAGTCTATGGGCAGTGCCACCAGATGTTGATGGAAGCCAACACGAAAGCCAAGCGCGAGGAATGGATCAGGGCAGTCGAGATCGTTGAGGCGCTTGATCCTGCTTATGTTGTGGCTGGTCACAAGATGGCGGGTGAGACTGACGGAATCTGGCACCTTGCTGCGACCAAGAAGTATATACAGGACTTTGGAAAGATCCTCGAAAAGAACCCTAAGACCGAGAAGGAGCTGTTTGTGGAGATATTGAAGATATATCCCGAGAGATTCAACCCGGGAGCCGCGCGTTTGAGTGCCATGGGTGCCTTCCAGGTTCCAAGGGAGTCACGTATTTAGGATGAGGCGCGCGAGGGAATGATAACAATTCAGTGACGGTTGCCGTTACATTCTAAATGCGTCAATGATGATTGATTGATATGTCGTAATGTGCCAATTTTACGTTTTGAGAGTGAATGTCCGTCGCTATGCCACCGGAAGAATGAAATGCGACAGTAGAGTGGCACCATCTTGGGCTGGATAGCGCGATAATTCGTACGCCATTCGCGTAAAGGTTTCTGGTCAATTTACCGACGTAAGAGCAGCAAGTACTATACCGCTGATGTGTGTTTGCAACTCAGGAGAATTTCGAAAGCATCACCAGCGCGTCTCCAATATCTGCTCCTTGCCATGTATTTGTGATCCAGCATCAACTAATGTCGCGAACCTCGGTGTTCATAGATTCTGTTTGGCGTAATGATCGAAGACGAGTAGAACATTGACACCTGATTGCGGGGTTTGCATTGCGAGGGCATATCGGTGTGACGTTTCAAAGCACCATCTCTTGATCGACGCTGGTTCGGAAGCTCTGATTACTGATATACATCGGCCTCGCAGTCGTGGCATGCACGGATCCCGTCCTGGAGCGGTATTATCCCGCATCGGCCGGTAATAGCGAAAGCCGGCCGGCGCCTCGCCATTCTGGATATCAAGAAGACTATTTGTGTTGATTAATGTATAATAAATACATATATAGTTTGCCGCCAACCATACATATGTTAATCATCGTCAGCATCTTATCAATCAAATCAACAAAAACGATTCAAAATGCCCAAATGGGTCTTCAACTGCAACACCGGCGTCTTCACCACCGCCGAAAAGAAACAAATCGCCGAGGGCATGACCAAGCTCTACACCAGCGTCGGTCTACCCGGATTCTACTGCCACACGCACTTCATCGAGCTCAACCCCGAAAACATGTACGCCGGCGGCGAGACGCCCAAGGCCTTGACGACCATCTCCATCTACCACATTGCGCGCGGCTTCGATACCCCGCAGGTCGAGGCTTTCTTCTTCAAAGCTCTGGATGATATACTGAGGCCCATCTTGAAGCCAAAAGGGATCGAATGGGAGTCTGGGATTTATGAGGCGAGGAGGGAGTTGTGGAGGATTAATGGGCTTGTGCCGCCTGAGACGGGGTCGGAGATGGAGAGGAAGTGGGCTAAGGAGAACCGGGTTACGGATGAGGAAGATTTGTTGAAAGTTCAGAAGCTTTCTAGATTGTGATGCAAAACATCGAAGCCTTGTATTGGGTTTGGGCAAAAGGTACTAGGCAAAGCCGAAGAATTGAGCTGGTCTCAATTCTTGACATGTAATAGTTGTCAAAGCCTTGAAATTGGCCCCCTTTACGTGACTCTCCAGTCATCTCTTGATCGGATAAATTAATATTTCATACACATTATCATTACTAAAACTTGCACGTAGCCCATGAAACGCAATCAACTTTAAGCTGTGGTAGTGGGGTCAGACCCAGGAGGTGCAGCCCCAGCACCTCCTCCCAGCACAATAGAGAAGACCACTGGCGTGTTTGGCAGGATCTCGGTCGTTGCAATGGACACGAGATTCGAGCTCGTTATGGTAGGTGTCGTTGTTATAGTACTAGGAAACGTTGTGGTGCCGGGTGTCTGAGGGTCTGAAGAGCTCGCCGGTGAGGCTGGTGAACTTGACGGAGAGCTGGAAGGCGTAACAGAAGGGGAGGATGATGCAGGAGATGAGGGTGCCGGAGAGGTGGTTGAGGCAGTCGCTGACGAGCTTGACGACGAGCTAGGTGTGGATAGGGATGTCAAGGAAGTTGGCGAAGAGACCGGAATAAGTGAGTTGGGCAAAACCGTAGACGAGGAGGTCGATAATTGAGTGGATGATGAGGAAGGCGGGGCGAATGAAGAGAAGCTCGATGTCGTCGTGGACCGGGAGCTTGAAGGGGCAGTCGTGGACGAGCTTGATACACTCGAACTAGAGATGGCGGGAGTCACCGATGGCGGCAGCGATAAAATGCTTGTCAAGGTGGTTGAAGGCAAGGTGATGACCGTGGTGGAGCTAGACGGCAGTACTGGGGGCAAAGTCACGGGTGTGCTCGTTGTGCTCGTGCTTGGGCTAGGTTCCGGGGTGAAGGTGGTCGAAGCAATCCTGGATGTGTTTGTGAAGGGGAAAGGCACCGTAAGAGAAGTTGACGTTGAGGACGTTGAAGACCTTGTTGAACTACTTGATGAGCTTGTAGAACTTGAGGAGCTTGTGGTTGAAAGAGGCGAGGTTGATGGGACCGCAGCGCTGGAGCTGGAGCTGCTCGTAGTGCTTGAGCTTGTCGTACTGCTAGACGAGGATGATGACGATGATGGACTCATAGAGGTCGATGTGCTAGAAGGGCTGGAGCTGCTTGAACTACTGCTACTCGTTGCAGACGACGTAGGAGGGGGGGTGATGGACGAACTCGACGAGGATGTTGACGAGCTTGTCGTGCTCGAAGACCTCGAAGAACTAGAAGATGTCGTGGAACTGCTAGAGCTTGAACTGGATGTAGTTGAAGAGATCGTCGAGTTGGAATATGTACTCGTTCTGGAGCTGCTGGGGCTTGAAGAAGGGGATGAGGTGATCGACGAAGTAGAAGACGAGCTTGTGCTGGTTGAAGTTGTCGAGGAACGCGTAGATGATGATGATGATGACGACGAGCGGGAGGAAGAAGATGAGGAGGAGGAGGAGCTCGTGGACGAGCTACTCGATGACGAAGTCGTACTTGTGGCCGTTGATGACCTGCTGGAGGACGTTGAGGTACTGGATGTCGTGCTAGTGGTCGAATTCCCACTTGACGACAACGACGACGAACTAGAAGAGGAGCTGAAGGAGCTGGTGGTAGTCGTTGTACTTGAGGTCGACGATGAACTTGAAGTAGTAGAGGTCGAGGACGAACTCGAAGATGAGACCCCGAGAGCCCTCACTGCAAACACCTCGTAGATGACAGTTCCAGTACTTGGACCACCACAAGAGTATCCAGTATCAAAGTAACAGGATGTCGTGCACAGGTTATCATCGGGTCCAGTCGAGAAGATGGGATTGATATCCTGAGAAGAACTCGGACTCGGGGTGGAACAATAGCACTGTTGGTAACTGCCTATGAAAGCAAAGTTTGACCCGAAAGAACTACAGCTCTGCTGGCACTGTGTAGTGTTGCCAATCGCGTAAACGTAGTTTGTTCCGACAATACCAAAGTTGCTAATGGCACCGCACCCTCTGTAGCTGTAACGGAAGCGAGGAGCTCTGTGTTGGAGGGTGGTGGTTGGTGCCGCACTTGAGGTGGTTGAAGTCGAAGTCCGCGTGGAAGACGTCGAGGAAGAGCTAGTCGTAGACCTTGTGGAGCTGCTGCTGGTCGTTGTGGTCGTTGTGGTTCTAGTAGAGGACGTCGATGTCGAAGTTCTGGACGTGCTAGTGGAGGTTGATGATGTAGTGGTAGACTGGTAAGCAAATTGGCGGACCCCATAGACATTATAGATGACATCGCTCCCATAAGTTCCTCCACAAGCGTATGTATTGTTGTTGACGCAAGCAACGTTGCAAAGAGCGGCGTTGGGGTTTGGCACCGATGCGAGAAGAGGACTCGGTGAGCTGTTCGGGGTGTTAGGATCCGAACACCAGCACTGCTGACCTCCGTCGTTTCCTGTAGCAGAGAACGCAGAGCCGTAGGAGCTGCAATCGCTCTGGCAGCCGATGACATCGCCTTGTTCGTAAGAGGTGACAAAGGGAAAGACTGAAGCGAAGTTCGTGATCTTGCCGCAGGCGCCGTAGATAAAGTTGTACTGTGGTGAGGCCTGTGTTACTGCGTGAACGACGGGTGATATGAGTCCCAGGCCGGCGGCCAGGATCTCGAACTTAGGTATGTGCATGCTCAGTTATGATTAACAGAAGGTCGTAAAAGTAGACCAACGGTTCACAGCAGTGCCCTCCCTCTGGTGCGAAAGCGAGGGTGGCTAGGTATGCCTGAGTTGGAGTACCATTGACAGGCGGTAACTTGCAAAAGATTTGACATACAGAGGAGATCCTGAGCTGAGGGGCGCCAGGGAGCCGGAGGATCTGGCCAGGTATTTGATCGGGCCGTGGTAACCTAGATGGCATCACATGGAATCGAAATCCGGCTCAGCTGCTTCGGAACATCATCAAATTGGGCTGAGTCCTTTCGAACTCGGTTCAGTTCTTGGCATGGAACTACATAACAAAACGCGTCTAGCACATCATCCGATATGAACGCCTCTCGCGCCCAAGGCCCGACTCGAGGGCCGACCAGAGAGGGGGGGAGATGGTAAGGCACGGAGAGGAGGCAAAAAGAGAAATGATGATCATGGCGGATTAAAATTGCGGGAGAGGCCCTCATCGTGAACGGTTGAGACGTTAATTCTAATCCAGGTTCCAGTCTGTGTCTCGATCAGACCTTGGACCCTGAATCCTGGGCAATTCGGTCCAGGATTCAGTCTTTCTTGGACTAAATTGGCAAGGAGGCAAGCAAACCTGCGTTCCAAACCGCTTCAGCCCTGAATAGCTCGCTCCATTTTCACGATGCCTGCCATCCAAAGTGAGTTAATACGGTGGGTCTTCTCGGACTCTTTGCTCCCTTTGAATGATGCTTGAAGCTAAATGTTGACAAACCCGCCGGCTCGTATTCCAGGTCCAAGTAGCCTCTACCGGCATGTTGATACTTGGCAAAAACCGTGTGCCAGCAAACCGGGTAGCAGGGTCGGGTGTAACATGAACCGTCCAGACCGTGTAACCTGCTCACATTCCAGCGGTTGAATCCACGTGAGCCCACGCATAGCAATACCACACGCCACCATTCCCCTTGCTTCCCTCCCTTGGTGCGGTGCGGACCGGACCTGATACGCCAGGGACCCCCAGGGACGCCTTCAGGGTTCTTTGAGAGGTGAATTGAATCATGGAGCCTCGCGCTCAGCTAGCCACTCGTGTAACGGTGAAAACGTGATCGATGTGGGAAGCAAGTGCTGCGCAAAATCAACGTCACTCATGTACCCGGCTGAGAAACGGTTCTTAGATCGTCAAGAGGATGCGATAACTTTATTGATAACTATGCCTTATCCTCAAGTGGACAGGGCCAAGCAGGCATCGACAGCTTGCCCGACTCTTCCCTGTTTCTGGTGTACCACGTCCGAAATGATCTCCCTGTCAAGATCGGGAAACATCCCTTGCAGAGTCTCGACAACGTTATTGTGCTCTACCCTGCTCAAACGCTGAGCTTCAGCAACTTCGGCGCTTGCCTGCCTCGCTGCAGCTTCTTCCGCTGACAAGTGGTGACGGGAAGATGGTGGCCGCCCATCGGGTGATATCTCGGCGCTCGGCCTAGGCGACAGTCGCTCGGAGGATTCTCGCGGCCTCGACGTCGGTCTTGATGCGTTACTAGGTACAGGCGGCGCAGGTGACGGCTCATCCGAAAACATGCGGCCGATTGTGCTAAGAGGCTTCTGTATGGAACGAAGAAGCCCTGTTATGGGAGCTTGGTCGTCTGATTCTTTTCCGCCTTCGTTCGATGACGTCGATCGACGGGGTGTGGACGACTCTCCCATGATGTCTAGGGAAGGCCTCGTCGAAGATTCCCCGGTCTGGTACCCGGTTGATGACTTCTCCGAGAAGACGGGTTCTTGAACAACAGCGGGCGAGTCAAGACGGTGTTTTTCAGCGATCGCAGATACCGCTGCTTCGACGTTCTTCTCGAACTCTTCGTCGGTGATGGTTAAGGTTGTCCGATCCATATTCTCGATAAACTGAATGGCACCCATCTACGTCACGTAAGCATTGTGTAGCGTAGCTACAGTCACAATGTGACCTACCAGTGATGAAAGATAGTATCCGGCTTCACCACCCAGCTTCTCCTGGTTTCGGAACCGCAAAATGTACTGAACATTTGACACCAGATGTTCGGGGTTGGCTTGGAGGACAACATAGATGAGGAGGGGCATAAACGAGTCGGCTGAAGAGTCCGACTTCGAGTGCTTGAGCAGGCCTATCAAAGATCAGTCCCCAAAGTAGCGACATGATGAAGAATAGCGACATACCGAAGATAACTTTGCAACAGTTCAATACGCAAATGATCTTGTCTCGCGGCGCTCGATATGACTTGATCTTAAGGATTTCTTTGCACAGTCAGCGGTCAGAGCTATGTTGAGATTGGGCGAGTAGGTACCTTGTTGGGCGAGCTTCAAAAATCGCTTACCGCTATCACCGGCTGGCGGTATGTCAAGGTGCTCCTCCCGAAGCCAGGCATAAATGTTGATCTTTTGTGTCAAGATATCATCTCGTTCCACGTCCTCTTGGTGTTGACCACGCCGGCCAGGCCCCATCGGTCGCTCCCCGCCTCGTCTTTTCGGCTTCGCTCCAGGTATAGGCTGTGGAGGAGGAATCGCCGGTGAGAATGTCTGTGTGTAGAGCCTATTCATGACCAGCTTCTCCATTCCTTCACGAGCATTGTCAAACTCTGCGTCGGAAACGTCTCGCCACACTTCACATTGCGCCATCTTGTTGGCAATGAAGGCGAGGAAGTCACTGATGATTTTGACTTGCTCGTGTACCATCCACTGTCGCTTTCCAAACTCTGATAAAAAGGACTTGAGGTACCTAGCGACTGGGTCCGCCTTCTTGTTTCGTAGTTGTTCTAGGAACCGATGGAAGTCGAATGGCAGCGCCGGCTCTGGCTCGGGTTCAGGAGGTGGCGGCCTATGTACGGGCATACCAGGAGACATCTGGGAGTCGATGCTCATCTGCCGATCATCGTGGGACCGCGCTGGTGTCGCCGGTGGCCCGTCTTTAGGAGGCACTGGCGGCCCTTGGTCATCAGGTGCTCTTTCTTTGGAGAACATGCTAGCTGGGGAGGCTGATTGTATTCTTAGACCCTGAAGCTCCTGTACCTGGTGTGACAGTGAGGGTACCAGTGGCTCGAGGCTAGACTTCCGAGGTGGATGCTGTATGCCAGGGCTACCTAGCATAGGCGAAGCAATCTCCAGCCTCGGGCTCATGACTTCTTCAGCTCCAGGACCCCCACCGTCGCCAGTAAACTGCTCCATGATACTCTGGATTTCGGATCGCGACCCATTCTCTTGCTCATCTTCGCTTGCATATCTGCGCTCGTCGTAGCCGGCATCAGATCGTGTAGGGGATGCAGAGGTAGGTCGGCGTTTGGCATTTGAGGGGGTTCGAGAGGGAGGCTGGGATGTTCTCGGGGTTGGAGGTGTTGGATCGACATATGTAGTGGACTCGATAGTAAGAAACTGTGTGGCAGTCTCGGCAGGGAGAGGACTCGTGGGCTTCAAGGTCGCTATCGACGAAGTCATCGGTTCCGGAATTGTCACGGGAGCAGGTTTGGACACGGTCTTGGGCGAGTCCTTGTGAGGTTTATCGCCCACGCTTGGGTCATCTTTCGTGGTGGTCGTTGTGACCGGGGCGTCTTCGCCAAAATCGATCAGATCGTCGGTCGCTTGTTGTTTGCCTGCTGCTTTTGCTGACAGCACGGGCTGTTTGTCTTCAACATGGTTGTCAAGCTTGAGCAGCTCCGTTTCAGCCTTGGACCCCGCGGTCTCGGCGCTCGTCACCTGGGCGGCGGCAGTGTCATTCTGGGGGGCGCCAGGGAGGCCGGAGGAGTGATCTGAGGGATCTGTAGAAGACATACACCACAGATATCGTGGAATATCGTTGTTCGTTTTTGGTGAGCTCTAGTCAAGCCGAGCAGCGGGGTTCGGCGTCGGTTTGGGAGAGGCGAGGCTCGAGCTCAGCAAAAGGCGGAGGGAGGAACAGTCGCTGACATGCAGGTGTGGCGGTGGGATTAGTCGAGCTGTGAGGGCCGTGGCTCGGTGTAGAATGGAAGCAAAGATCGAGAATCAGCAGATCAAAGACCCTGGCTGCAGATGGGAGGTGTTTGAAGGTTATCGGTGGGAGGTGTGTTGCTGAGCTATCACGGGAATGGGATCAGCAGTCCAAGGTAGCAGTGGGTTGGCCGTGTAACGGCGGAGAGAAGGCTGAGAATGTTGGTGTGCAACGGTAGAGATCCCCACAATTCGTGGGGTGTGGCGGGCCTGGAACTGCACGCTCGAACGCTCACACGCTAAGGTACGACGAGTGACTGACAGCAGGAAAGAGAGCGGGCGACTTTTGGCCAGAGTTTTGCCGGAGATCCAGGGTCCCCAGGTGCAGAAGGTCCGACCGACGTCACTCAGGTCCCTTCCCGTCCTTCTTTCCTTCCCTTCTTCTAATCCCCAAGTGGGGTTACCGGAAGCAATATTGTACCGTTCCGGTCCATACACGTGATCCCGAAGCCATGCCGTATCGGAGCCGAGCGAAGCCCTGCTTTAGACCGCCCGGATCCGGATGGCTCCACTGCACGCCGCCGAGTCCCCGCTGTCGTTCCTGGCTTGTTCTTCCGTCCCGGCGCACGGAGCTCCTCTGAGGCCTGTTACGTCTCATCTTCCCCTGACATCGGCAGGGAATCAACCTTACCTGTTAGACCTCAACCTCGGCCCATAAACACTGCATCGCCGCTGTCGACTCATTGGTGCACCAGAGGAGCTGAACCGCCCATGAATCCAGTAGAATTTCTGCTCTCTCCTCCCATTTATGATAAGAATCAATCAACCAAACTGTCGGATCGGCGCAAGGGAGCATGTCTCAAACCCTCTCGCAGGTCTTTCTTATTCGGGGTGCTTTGACGGATGGATTTCACATCTTTTTCATTTTGTTTAATCTCCATTCCTCTGCGACTGCACCGTTGACTGACCCACGGCGGAGCAAGCAGACGTTTTTGACATCTTCTTGCTTTTGCTCACCGTCCGGTCGGAATCCCTTCAATGAGCCAGAACAGCCCATCTCCATTTTCTTTATTTCTTCTGCCCTCTCGGGGTCCAGAACTCTGTGTTTCCCGCGTCCGAATCCCGTTGTCTGACATTACGCTCGGTCCTCTGACAAGTGTCAAGCGGCGAGACCTTCTTTCTTCTCCAGCCCAAAAGAGGATTTGACTTGACCTCCCCGAGCCGGCCGAAGCCCACCACACCAGACGTCAGACCCGGGATGAGAGCGTGAAGTCTTACCTGTCAGAACGAAGCGCTGGTAGTAGGCAGCGCGGGCTCTGAGTCGCCAAAAAACCTTCGGGCTCATCCTTGTTCAGGAGTCTGCTTTGTGATCAGTTTCTCGTTTCGATCCGGTCATCTCAAGTTTCAGGTTGGAACTTCTAGAACGTATCCTGTTCCTCCCAACTCAAGCGGTCCACAACGGACGCCGTCAAGTTCGCAAGCTACACTTTTATCGACAAGCGCCGTTCTCGTGGCAGGGGACCTCATGGTTGATGGATCTCACCCTTTCCCTTTTCTCTCTCCTTCTTTGGTTTCCCCTCAGTGGCAGAGACATCGTGTGGGAGGGTCACTGACAGCTGGCTAGTCTGAAGCCCGTGAAGCCTGATGTTAGTCAGTCTCAATCTAGCGTTCACTGTCACGAGGGCAGGTACTTTCTTTTACTTTTCTAGCTTTCTCTGGGCATCTGGAGTCGAGAAGCTTTACGCTTAGCTGCGTGAACGTTGTGCTGACAGCAACCACAACGGCACGTCACATCTCACTTATGCTTTTCTTATTCCTGAGCTGATGAATGTTGACCTTCTTGTCGTTCGTTATGTTGGATAGTACGAGGCCCATCCGAGGCCTTCGGCTGCATGAGGCCCGAATGATAGAGTTCTACATTCAATTCCCCTAGTCCCCGAGCCTTGTCGATGCTGGGTCGTTCTCTAAAACAATATCTGCGAAACGGCGGTCCTCCTCCCCGAATGAATCAAGCATGAGGGGCTCTCGACCTTATCGGATTTAGGCTACCGAAGAGAAATCAAGCAAGCCATGCCTCGGTCCACTCGATCCTGCCTCCCGCCCTTTGGATCTCCGATAAACGACATCGATCAGGCTACATGCTGGATGCGCCACTAGCCAGGGGAAATCCAACGGGATGGCGTTGTGGAGTGGTCTTCCCGATGGCTTGGCTGCCGCATCCTGGAGACCTGCGACCGTGCTCCTCCGGGAAGGGAGTCGTGTTTCCCAAAACGGACAGACTTGCGATCTGGACAGTCCACCTCGACCTGCGCCTCAGGAGATCCCATCGACCCCAGATGCATCTTACACGCCAAGGGACACCTTCGGGGACGTCTCTTGCTTACTCGAGTTGATTCGAGAGATGCGACTGGCCCGGACGTTGGGAGCTATGGGACGAAAGTGAGTTGATGCGGAAACGCCAACAACGGCCGAGGCGGAGGTTTGCACTAATCGTCATCTCAACAACAGCCCAACGGCGTGGGTTGACGTGCAGAAACTCTCTGTATAAAGGTTGCGGCCAGACCCTTTGACTTTATTCATCTCATCATCATCATCACCACATCTCATCTACAACACGCAGCACTCAGCTCGCTTACATTCCAAGCCCCGGTGGCAGTCATTCTCTTCCGCGACGCTGTATCTCAGTCAGCTCTGTGAGCCATTCTCTTCGACCTTTTCTCAAATCCATCACGATGAAGTTCTCCGCCATTCTCGCCCTCGCGTCTATCGCGGCTGCGTTCCCCACGCTTTCCGAGCCCGAGCTCGATGAGCGTGACATTCTTGAAATCGAGGCCCGCGATATCGAAGCCCGCCAGCGCGGCCGTGTCGGTTCCACCGCCAAGGAGTTCTCGACTGGCGGTTGCAAAGACGTCATTATGGTCTTTGCTCGTGGCTCTACCGAAATCGGCAACATGGGTACCATTTGCGGTCCTCAAACCGCCAACAACGTCAAGGGTCAATTCTCGAGCGTGGCCGTTGAGGGAGTCGACTATGCCGCTGGTCTCTCTACTAACTTCTTGCCTGGCGGCGCCGACCCCGCTGGTGTTGCGGAGATGAAGAAGATCATTGGCGAAGTCAACAGCCAGTGCCCCAACTCCATGATGGTCGTCGGCGGCTACAGCCAAGGTGCCGCCGTCACTCACCGCGCTGTCGAGGACTTGCCTCAGGCCCAGAAGGACCAGATCGTCGCGGCCTTCATGTTCGGCGACACCCAGAACACCCAGGACAAGGCTCAGATTCCCAACTTCCCCAAGTCCAAGACCAAGATCATCTGCGCCCAGGGCGATGCCGTCTGCAAAGGAACCCTCACCATTCTGCCGGCTCATCTGTCCTACGGCAACCAGGCTGGCAACATGGCCGACTTCATCAACCAGAAGCTCACTGCAGCTGGCGCGCAGAGGCGCAAGTAGACGCATATCACGATTGTCATGTTTATGAGGCGGAACTAGGGGGAACATTTCATGAGTATCCATGTACACACTGTGGCTTTGCATGCATTGAGCGGCGGCCTTATTTTTTCTTCTTGTTTCTACTTCTCTCTACAGGCATAAAGAGATATCCATTTCTACAGTTCACATATTTGGGAAAGGCATTTTGAGTGTGTTTTGAAACAGTGCAATAATTAGCTACCACGCCTCCTGGATTTGGTATTCTGGCGACGGAATATCCGGTGAGAGCTTGGGTTCGCCTTGGTACTTTACCTGAGGCTGGGTACAGATTCATGGGAGATGGGCAGCCAAGACACGCCCCAGACACTCGTTGATCGATGTGTAATAAAGAAGAAATTCTCCGAACCTTGTGCCCCATCTTGAGAAATGTGTGCTGTGCTCTGTGACAGTTGATGAATGAAGAACCCGGCATTTCGGGATTCAGAAGGACGGGGTTATGCTGGCGACGGGCAGGCGACGGGGAGGAGACGAGGAGGAGACGAGGAGGCGGAGGAGGACGTTGACGTACAGTGCTTACGTAAGTCAGTATTTTGGTGACACTGTACGTACCTCTGGGATATCCGGCCCTGCCGCGCCTGATGACTCAGGCAGAGGCACAGCTCGTCGCACTGTGGTGCGGCATCTTCTGACATCCCGCTGCTTCTTCCTCTATCAACCGTCAAACCTTCAACTCCTCTGTCTCCCCGATGCCTTGTTCGATTTTTCATCTCCGGTTCGCACTTCGAAGCACATCAGATGGGATGAAGGTATCATCGATTCTCCCGTCGGCAATGCATAGAGGCGCTCAGCTGGAAATGATAAACACATGCCGACGGCGGCGGCAGCGATTAACCTCCATCAAAGGCCACCATTCCTCTTCAAGGCGGCCATGAGAATTGTGTGTGCGTGATACTCCACCAATGTGCGACGTTGCGACAAAGGGTGTTGCCTGTTCAGCTTTCGCCCGAACTTTTTGCCCACGTATGACGCTCGTCGGAGAGAGAAAGGCTGAAGCGTGGCCTTACGCTCCCAGGGCTGGCCGGCTGAAAGTCTGAAGACTCCAGATGGCATCCGTGCTCGACCTTTGCCATTCGCACCTCGGACGCCTTGTTTTCTCCGGACGCACGGGGCCTCGATGTTGCTTGCTGTGGGATCCGCGGATCAACGTGGACGGGACTGGGGGGAAACATGATTGTCACCAATACGCGGAGCCGCCTAGCAGAATTTATTCCATCAGCCACCCGTTGCGCCGATCTACCTAAACAAGACTTCGAGATGGAACAAGGCCAGACAGTTCGGGTCCGGTTGACCGGTTCGCGGCTAGCGACGCTTCGAGCAGTGTGTCCGAAGCCAAGACATGCGTTGGACGGAGACCATCCCTGGCGTCAGCTCGTTGCT